CTGGGAGCGTGGAGCTGGTTTCACGAGCCACCAGGCCCTGTCACAGCCCCCTGCCCAGCTCCAAAGTTATGTTGCCTCAGGAGAGCGTGTGGCTTGCTCACTGGAGGATGTCCAAAAAATCGGGCTACCCATTGCCATGCCCTAATAAAATCGGAGACACCCGCCCCCCGGTTATGGTTTTCAAATCTTACAGGAAGGCTTTTGTCTCTTATGGAGGTGGCTCAGCCCCCCCCCAAGCTCCCACGTAATTTGCACCCCGGTGGCGTGCCTCTGTCAGAGCTCCCTGTGCCCCCCCCCCAGCTCCAGAGCTCTCTGGCTGGCTCCAAAACCATGATGCCCGGGGAAAATGTGTGTGGCCTGCCTCTGTCAGAGCCCCCTACTCTGCTGCAAACCTGTGACACCTGGTGACCTGCCTCAGAGCCCTCTGTTCAGCTCCAAACCTGGGAGGCCCAGGGAGAACACGTGTGGCTTGTGTCTATCAAAGCCACCTGCCCAGCTCCAGATCCATGACACCCAGTGAGAACATGGGTGGCCCGCCCTACCCAGCAGCAAACCTCTGACACCCTGGGGAGAACACACATGGCTTGTGTCTGCCAAAGCTGTCTGTCCAGTTCCAAACCCATGACACCCTGTGAGAACACATGTGGCCTGCCTCTGTCATAACACCCGGTGAGAACACGTGGCCTGTCTCAGACCACTCTCCCCAGCTTCAAACCTGTGACACCCAGTGGGAACTTGTGGTCTGCATCTGTCAGAGCCCTGTGCCCAGCTCTGAACCCATGACTTCTGGTAGGCCTATTTGTTCACCTTCAGTAGTGTGGTCTATGCTCACCAGGGTACAAAAGAGCCGTCATTTGACTCCTGGTAGGTGTGATGGGTCATGCCTTTTATTGGGTGTTGAGAGTCAAGCTTTCACACAAAATGTCTCTGGTCCTCTAGAGCAGTGGTCTCCAAAGTGGTATGCACGCACCCCAGGGGGTACCCAAGATGATCCATTGGGGTGCGGGAAGAAAATACTAGAACTTCTATTTATATTTATTTTTTATCTAAAAAAATAAGAAAGAAATTAAGCTTTACTAATATTTAATATATGGATTGACACTGGCGCTCTCACTCCGTCCATATGTCAGGTATCCTGAAGGAAGATGGGAGTTCCACAACACAAAGGGGTTGACAGTGGCGCCCTCGTTTGTTCGCTTTCAGCACATTGCGACGTATTGCGGTGTACATGTGCCCGGTTAAGAGGATTTACAGATTATATTATCTAGTTTTAACTAAACTAACCCACACAAAATGGACAGGTGGCTTAAAAAGATTCCTGCAAAGAAACCACGGATTGAAGATAATACTAATAATGTGAGCACAAGCGAACAACAAGAAAATGGCAGAGCTGACACTTCTCCTACTCCCTAGTACGAGCTCTTTGTCAGCCACATTATGAGGTAAAAACAATGACGATCTAATCAGATCTGACAAGAAGTTGGCCAAAAAAATTCAAAATTATCAAGAAGGCTGTTTGAAATATGGATCTACATCCACTATTGTTAACGATGAACCTTCCCTTTGCATAATTGGTGGATGGGATTGAAAACTTAGTATCATGATTTAGTAAGCGCAGCCAACAATGCACTTCTTCCATTTGGATCTACGTATCTTTGTGAGGTATCTTTTTCAGCTATGACAGCTATTAAAACCAAGTATCAAAATAAACTGAACTTAGAACCAGAGCTTCGAATCGCTGTATCACAAAGTGTTAAACCAAGATTTTCAAAAATAATGAAGCATATTCAATCACATTGCTCTCACTAAAAATATTATTATTAATAATAATATTTTTAGTGAGAGCAAAAAGGTTTTTTGTACTGTTAATAAATAAAATAAAAATAAATTATTTTAAAAATATTGTTTATTTCATCTTTATCTCATCCTTTTTTAATTTCTATTTTTGTGTATGTTTTATAATGTACATAATATATAAGTACAGTAGTACCTGTATATAATTTATAAATAAATATACATATATTGGGGGTGCGTGCTCAAACATTTTTTACTGATAGGGGTGCGCGATCAAAAAAGTTTGGAGACCACTGGTCTAGAGAAAAGCAAAAGCAGGCTAATCTGAGTACTAGGTAAAACAACAGTGGGATGGCCATGAGAGCATCACCCTTAGGGTGCCCTTGCCCTTTTGAATTGTTGCAGCACGAGCCACTTACTAAGAGGTAATTAGCTGTCTTATTCTGAAGTCTGTAAATCAGGGTATCAAAGAGCCAGCCCTCGGAGCCTTGCCTTCCAGGCTGCAGTGCTGCTGGTGAATCTCAGATCAGCACCACATGCTGCACGTAGCATGCGCTGACCTCAGCCCCAGTCTGGCACATGCTGCATGTGGCGGCTATGGTGGGCCGGCCTTGTATGCTAGATCCAGGCACACACCCCAGACCAGCTGCGTGTGTAGTGTGTGTCGTGGGCTGGCTCTGCGTGCTGCATGCAGCACATTGAGCTGGGTCTGGTGCTTACTCTATGCTGCACATGGGGCCAGTCTGTGGACATAATCCTGCCCACAGATTGACCCCCATGCCCCTTGATACTCCTGCTGTAAATGGTTTGCTTCCATTTTTGTTTGTTTGTTTTCTTTTCCCAGCTCTGGCTTTTGGGTTTGTGAAGCTCAAGTAAGAACATAAGGCTCAAGTAAGTTCTTGGGCTTCATAGCACTTCACGCCTAAGTTGGTTGGTCCTGTCTCAGAGGAGGAAGGGGAGCCAGCCTTTAAGTTGCAAGTCTCCTCAGGTCTATCTCAAGCCTGAGATCTGTGCTTGCTTTGTTAATGATGGTGTGTGTGACCCTTACTCTAGAATACTGTCGTATATAAACTTTTTTTGAGGGAAAGGCATTTCCCGACAATTAATGGCTGGAAAGAGGACTTGTGGAACTGAAGCAAACCAGCGGACCCTCAACCTATTGTTTTACTGTCAGAAAGTGCTGGACATAGGGGCGTTTGTCTAATAAATGGTCACTTTTAGTTTATTTTTAATTTTTCAAAGGCTGTTTAAATTCTGCGTAATGGAATGTAGAAAGCTGGGCCAGTTTTCTTGGAAATTGATGGGGTTATCTATTGATTGGAATCAGAATCCAGAGTCTTGTTTTAAAAAAAAAGTCTATTTGACTTTGCTATTTGGAAAAGGAGGAAACAAAACCACATAAAAATGTTAGTTCAAGTGTTACATATTTTGGAAACTTTCCAGAGACCTTGGTGAATGTTTTCACTCTTGAGTTCTGTCATATTGGTCAGTGTTGTAAAGGTGTGAGCTCCCTCAGCATCACCCAGAGGCACTGCATTGGAAGTGAGCAAGACATGGAGGAAGGGGGTAATTCTTGAAAAAAAAATTATTGAAAAGTAGGGTTTGGGATAGTACTGGGTCTCTGCAGGTGTCCTGAGCCTCCCTTTGCATCTGTAGCCAGGAGCACACTTTCCACCTTTGGGCCCTTCAATGGCTCCTTTACAATGCCAGTAGCTAGATGGCATGGTGCCACATGGGACATGCCTTTTTCGATTGCCTTCAAGAGTTCTGATGTGACCAGCAGCTCATCTGTCTGAGAGGTCACCCCATACAAGGCCTCAACAAGTTGTCAGAGTTTTACCACAACCTTCTCAGGGCCTGGAGGCTGGTCTCTGCCTCCAAGTCCCCAGACACAGTTGCCCAGGGCACAGACCTCCTGATTGAGCCTCTGCTGAGAAACCCTTACCTGGTGGTACCAGCAGTGGATGTCCCCTTGATGCCCCAGAGGATGGTCCTGGTTAACATCACCCATATCGGGAACCTCCTGGACTATGCCAGGCTGGGGTGGGCAGATCCCTCTGTACTGGCACAGCACATGGAGCTGCCCACACTCC